TCCTATGCGCATTAACAAATTGCAAGTAGTTCAAAGCAAGTTTATCCGCCGCGCAACCGGTGCGCAATGGTATCAGCGCAACGTCGACCTGCACAGCGATTGCAGACTCCCGACGATTCGCGCTCATTTTAAAGATTTGACAAAACGGTTCTTCGATAGAGCCCAGCATCATCCCAACCCTCTGGTGGTAAGCGCAGCAAACTACCAACCGGACACAAACGCGAACGTAAACAAGCGTCGTCCGCGAAACGTCCTCATCGACCCGGTCGACGAAGAGGACTTAGATACGATGGACCCACCGCCGGGGGTCCCGCCGGATAACACTACACCCACAGTTAGTGTAACAACAATCACACCAGTTCGCCCTCGCCTCCGAGCACGGCGAGACCCACACAAGGCGTACACAAGGTACACCCGCGTTCCGGGCGGTTCTCACCGCTCCCAGCCACCGATTAGCTAAATGCACAGTCGACGGCCGTCGGGGTCTCGGTCCGAACCGGCGACCTCGATGGCCCTTAGATGACACACCAAAGTAGTTAAACGCACGCATGAGCACATGCGCGACCCTACCCATAGCGGAGGGTCCAAACCCGTGGGTTCTGGCTAGCCCACCGGTTCTGCGTCCGATGAAGCTTTAATAGTCTCGGGACTGAAAGCAAAAACATCAGTTAATACAAGAAGACAAGATACAAATTATAATCGATAATACGGCCCAAAACCAAAAGTGTTTAATCAATGCGTTCTTCCGGCTATGACATATGGATGCGAGACATGGACACTGACTGCTGGGTTGATCCACAAGCTCAAGGTGACGCAGCGCAACATGGAGCGAGCCATGCTCGGCATAACGTTACAGGACCAAGTCCGGAACGAGCTCATCAGACGTCGCACGAAAGTGGTCGACGTGGGCCACCGAGTAGCGAAGTTAAAGTGGGCTTGGGCCGGACACATGTGCCGAAGAAAAGAGGAACGTTGGAGCAAGCGCGTTCTGGAGTGGAGACCCCGGCTAGGCAGGAGAAGTGTGGGCAGACCACCAGCCCGATGGTCCGATGACATAAAGGAGACAGCAGGCCCAGTCTGGACAAGGGAAACAAAGAGTCGTGCCAAATGGAATAAAATTGGAGAGGCGTATGCCCAACGGTGGGCGAACACACGCTGAAGAAGAAGAAGAAGAAGAAGAATACGGCCCAATTCTAAAGGTCATAATTTTTTTACAAAATATTCAAATAAATAAAAGAAATTCAAATAAATACAATATTTAAAAGATATCGCTTACTACAGCTTACTACAAACATATATCTTACGTTTTATAACTAAAGAGATGATATTAATGAAAAAAAAAAATACTATTAAAAACTGCAATTTAAAACAATAAAAGGAGTTGATTTTAAAATTACAAATAATATCCTTAATAAACTACAGTTTAATTGACGCAGTGCGTTCAAATTAAATGAATGATTCATATAATCAAAATGTCAATCATATCTTTTCGTGAATAAAATAAAATGTTAATAAATGTAAATGAACAGTAGTTTCGGTGTTTGTAATTGACCTGAAAGAATTTGCTAGCTCCTCTTTGATATTTGAATTTGAGTGGCACATTATTCTGGAAATGACCCTGGCTACAGAGACTTCAAACGCGAGCTAATCGCAGGTCGACCTTTCACAAGAAAAGAAAGCATACAAGTATCAGACAAGACGTTTACTTTATGAATGAATGAATGAATGAATATACTTTATTGCACACCAAAAATAAAACAAACAAAAAATTAAAACTTTATGTAGAAGTGATGGGTACAATGGGCGGCCTTATTACTAAGAGTAATTTCTTCCAGGCAACCTTTATTTACGGAACAATTCTGCTTTAATAATTATGCTTAGGAAGATATTTATTCATCGAAGTAAGAAATATACATTTCATGTATCGATAGTATTTTTTTAAGTACCACCTTTTCGTAATGAGGTTCCTCTGACAGGAGAAGAAACAGGTGAAAGAAACTCCGTAGGTATCCTCTTTTATTTCTTGTAATTTTTTTCCTAAACAATTACAATGTTATACAGATATATCAGAATGATCTTCTTAATGATCAGAATTGTCAATTCAAAGAGTTGAACCATCCTTTTGGCAGCTCAAATTACATTTTAAAAGCCATTTGACAGCTGATTAGTTAACTTCTACGATGATCAGTGTTTCAGAAACCGGGCGTTAGTCTGCGGGCTACCTAAAGCTTTAACGGGCGCAGCTCTTGTTAAGGCTAGTTTTCAACGAGCTTGATAGATCCAACCTAAGCAGAGTCACGCATGTTGTCATGTTTGCATTAACAAAACGAGGGATTGTCGGCTACGGGCCATGGAAACCCCGGTATGGGGACTGTGACTGACATGACGTCGACTGAATTATTTGTGGGTTGCCAGTGGTGTGTGTGTCTAACGTTACATGTATGTATAGTGTCGTCGGCCGTACGTTTGTGTGAAGCACACATGCACTTTTTAGGACTTGGGATTACCTCTATGTTTTATGTGGTTACATCTGAATCGATGTTTTTAAACAAGAATGACGAATAACTTCGTCTACGTTAAAATTTAAATTGCCTCATTTTTCGGCGTTCCTTCAAAGGTTCCCTTGCGCAAAGTGCTATAAAATTGTCGTAAAAATTTATAAAGCTACTCAATAAAACGCACATTTAGAATTTCGCAAAAGATGGAATATTGCTCTCGGTTACAATGAAAATAAAATATCTGTGCTCTCAAGCATTATTTATGTTGAACTGTCGCCAATATATCATTTACGTTTACGTTACATTATATAATAGTTTTGAGATGTTTCCTTTGCAATTTCTCTTTTAAAACATAGCTTGATGGAAGATAATGAACGTCTTGAACCTAATATGTCATTAAAATGTGATCAAGCATTTTAATTTTTTATAGTGCTTCAAATATTAACTTCATTTAAGATGAGTCAAAAAATAAAAAAGCGAATAATTTTTACGTGGCGAAAAACAGGAATTGAAACTGGTTAGGATATTAATACAACATTTTCTCAGATGTCATTCTCGTAAAAACTTGCGGTCTTACATGTACTTCTTTACAATGCTGCACGGAAGAGAAAATGATAAGTTATGATTAAGTTATAGGTTAAGTTGCAGAAGGCATAGTTGAATTTCCTTTTGAAAATGTTTTAAAATTTTTTTTTATGTTTTAGATTTTTTTAACGTTAATATTTTTTTATGATACATATTCGCAAGTAGCGTTAGATGTGTGTTTATTTATTGTCGCGGTGGTAACGACACGCTGTATATTTTATAGTTTTTATTATTTACTTAATTAGTAGTGCGTAGATACTAAGAATGTAGTCTAAGCTTGACGATTCTCTTATTCTTGTTGTTTTTAAATTAAGACATTTCTGTACATAATTTGTGTTGTCTACCATATATGACTAAGATACGTCTTAGGCAATTCTGTCGTGTATCGAAATTTCGATTGTTGTTGCGTTGCAGTGATCGTTTGTCTAGTTGGCCGTTATTAATATAGCACACTTCCGGTATCGCGCCATTCGTCTACGTGCCAGCCCGGTCGCCTCAGCGCACGTGTAATCACGTTTACCATTGGATGTTGGTTGTGTTTGGCAAATTATTCGGCGAACTGATAGACTTGCAGATATTTTTCTATTAAATTAGGTGAAAAACGTCAACGTGGGCTTTCTGTTACGTTTTCCATCACTAGGGCAGCGCATTACGATTACCTCGCTCGTTTGAAAAATTGCCAGATTACAAATGATAATAGTGAACAAATTTTAATTTAGAATTGTTAAAGAAGTGTAAGATCGACTACTTTCTCGGAGGAATTTGTGTTATGACAAAAATGTAGGGCTTCCCCCATTAAGGAATATCCTTGTCAGGTTCATATTTCACTCTGCGTGTTTGTTTATTCAGCACCGGTACTATCATCGAGAAACCGACCAAGTTTAACGGTTGTTTGTCTTTTTACATATCCGTACTTGTTTGTTTGTCAAATGTGGCAAATATTTGAATACAAATAGCCACGTGATGTGCCACCGCAACCCAATCATTGATACCGCCTTTATTTCATCTGTAGTCCGAAGTAGGTCACCGTGTACTCCGCGTATCCGTGACGTCACACGGCTGACACGTATGCCACAGTTTGTTGAGCTTGTGTTCGCCCGAAATCTCGAACCTTTAATTGTTCGTTACACGTGAACGTTAATTGAACTAATGGCAGCTTTGAAAGATCCCCACGAAATATGGGATAACTTACGTTTTTATCCAAAATTTATAAGATATTTTTACCTGTTTCATTTATAGAATTAAAGCGCCCAGTCGTTTAGCACGATTCAAAGCCGAAATATTTTCGCTTAATAGAGAATTTAAATCAGTTTGTTGGAGTGCTTAATACCAAATTTATTACAAGAAAAAATAATTACGTACTTAAATAAGTGTGCTCTAATAAAAAGCTGTATAGCTGGGTATAACATAACTTAAAATTTAAAATGGCATTCAATCTAAAATATTAGATAAAAAATATTCTTTATATTAGTTTTATATTTATTCATTTATATTTGACTAGCAACTAAAATTGTGCCGGTAGTTTTACGGGTTTAGCTCGCAATTTCCAAAATACGTAAAAACTTCGAAAAGTAGCCATATTAATATTGCGAGTACTTCCTAAATCTTCCATCTAACTAAAGTTTTATCCGAAGGCATGAGCCGACGTATATCTCTACATGCAAACACGAAGTTACAAAAATAAAATAACCATCGCATCAGAAGTCAAATCAAAACAAACGTACAACAATTGTCATATCACATTGTAATATCGATCTGACTCCATGTTTTAAATATGTTTTTTAGCTTCATTCATCGAATTTCAGTTGCAATTAAGGACCTACTTAAAACTATAAAAGCTGCGCTTATTGTGGGGAAATGTCGGTTTATGTAAATCGAAGGTGCTCGGGCCGTTAACAGTCAGCGATTTGGGCTTTAAGGCGCTAAGCTGCACCCAGTCGAGCGCCCGCGAAGGACAAGGGGTCCCACGCTGGGCGGGCTGCCGAGGGGCGGGCGGCCGCGCCAGTGCTGGCCGCTTCGCCGTCGCGAGCGAACGTCGTCACGTTGCCGCCGCGTTGCCGTCGCGTTGCCGCCGTGTCGCCGTCGCGTCGTCGTTCCGTCGCGGTCGCGGACCAGTCGCCGACGCCAGTAAAGTGCAGCAGCTGGGATTAGTGGCGGGTTGCGAGCATCGAGGATGACCACGGCGCAACCGCCGCAGCCGGTACGCGAACGCATTTTCAGTTGTAAACATTGAGCACGCTTAGTCGCGTGCCTCGTAAACTTTCTTAAGCGGAATGATTAAGATATGAGCAGTCGTTCATCAAGCCGTATCGGCCCGAGGTCGTTGTTCCAAAGTTGAAATGGTTGTTTTTTTATGATGAATAATGAAATGATCGCAGCGGATCCATTTGCGACGTGATGTTAAGGGATAATCGTTTTGATCGTTTTGCGCTGTTGTTTGTAAACTTTTAATGTCTTAAAATTAGTTCATATTGAATGTAACTTAGCTGAACTTAGTAGTTTATGCCTTATTTATTATTTTGTTAACATGAGGGTATGAGTGCTTTGACAGCCGATTTGTTATTTACATTGAATTAGTAACATAATTTTAACTTTCAACAATAAATATATGCATACAACATACTTTTAAATAAGAATATTAAATTATGTACGTACGTTAAAAACTCTAGAATATGTTTCACGAATCTAATTCAACATATCATAGCGAACCTATAGAATACAAAAAGTTTTAGTTTCATTGATTTCTTACCTTAATAAATATCTCTGTGGACGTTACAACATAAACTTTTCACTCGAATAGTCCGTAATTTTTCTCAAAGTTAAAAAGTTACGTTTTAATACACGTGTTCGTTTACAGTTTTAAGGGATGTAAAAGAATAAAGGAAAAACCCAAAAGACATTCTCGAAAGGATGGTTGGATGAAATGTCTTTTTCTCGACGCGAATTCGAGGGAAGATATTAAGATAACGTTTTCGTAATTATTGGTGGGCCGTTAAGACTTTTTTTTAACATTGTATAGGAGATTGTTTGATTTGATGTCAGAGGTCATTTACATAAACAGTCTCAAAGCGTTATTAACTTATTTACAATCATACACGTGGACGAAATTTTCACAGTTGTCATTTGTTATTGTGATTTTTAATGACATCATATCTGTTATTTACATCCATCAATATAATTCATGATGATCAATAATCATTACATAGTCATTCATCATTATAGCATGATTATTGACCCTCATGTTGTCATTTACATCTAGCGAAAGTGATTCCTTGCAGTTTGAGTGACGTTTGTTTGAACTAACAAACATCAGTTCAATTCTAAGTATTCTTTGCACACAAAATTTTGTGTATTATTAAAAAAAAATCATAAAGATAAAAAATACAAAGATACAAGTCTGTTGTATATACAACGACTAACTTTGACACACTATATAGCAAACATTGCCTGACTTCTTAATGAATGGGCTACAATGAGATTATACGTACACGTTTACAACAACATAAATACGTGTATATAGGCATATGAATATATATTTACGAATGTGACCATGGCTTTGATTTAATGTAATTCTTCTTCTTCTTCTTATTCGTGGTCTTCATTACTGAAGGTCATCTTGAAATGCCTGCACAGAATCAATGACGAGCTGCTTCCATATATTATTACTCTGTCTTCGGCTTTCTTCAGGGGCAGTGGAAGCAGGAAGCCCGGTTATCACTTTTATTTGATCAAACCAACGAGTAGGTGATCGCCCAGGTGGTTTTTGCCATCTGATTTTCCAACTACAACCGGGTTTTAAATGTAATATATATATGTCACGATAACACATTTTTTTATTTATTAGTTACAAGTAGACTCGCTAAACGTTGTTTTTCCATATAAATTATTTCTAGGGAATTTGTGAATTTGAACACATAGAAAAAGAATTTCGGAACGCGCGCATAAATAATTTGATAGGTTACACAGACACAGTCGACAGGTTGACAGGTACAGCTTGTATGGAAAATACAATTGTTGCTATTTCGATTTTCCATGCATTAATTTCTCATCGTTTAAACCTTCCTTGGACTGCCACAAATATTTCAAAACCAAAATTGGCCAAATCGATCCAGCCGTTCTCGAGTTTTAGCGAGTTAGTCTCGAACAGCAATCCATTTTTATATACCTATATAGAAGATAACAGATACACATTTAATGTAAGTAATTCCCTCACACGGTGGTAGGTCTACGCAACAGTTTACGCTGTTGCACGAATGGGCAGGTCCGTCCTGGTAAGTACCACGACTTCACAGAAGACCGGCGTGAAGTGGAAGTACTCTGTCACTCTTAGGCGTAATAATCTGTGTACCCAGACCTATTGCAACACCAAATTGAAACAAAAACTATTCAAACAGGAATATAATTATTGCTTTATATTAGAAAACCAAGCGTATTCACGTATGTTATGAACATAAATAAGTGTATACGCATCCCCTTCACGTTCAACTGACAAAAATATTCGCATGTAATTTGGAATGGAGACAGATGGTATACTGGTGTTATAAATAGAATATTCCTATAGAAATATATTTCTTTAATTGAATTCAAATGGTACCCATTTATATTCAAAATATTTAATTTAATATGAATGTATATAGTTTGAATATCTGTCATAGAAGTCATCTAATAGAAACAGGTATAGTGTTAAAGAATATACGAGTATATTTGAAAGTGAAATAGTTAGATTGTATTTAATATATTCATGAACAAAGAAACACTACAAGACGTGTATTTAGTTTCTTAATTCATTGTCATTCATGGTAAGTGCTACAATACTAGCATTGTCGGAGTACGCTGTTTTAATTGCAGTAGATTAAATGAAACTGTTAAATGCGAAGAAACTTATTGAGAGACATTTTTTTTTTTTTTTTTTTTTTATGCGAAAAGTTGTCAAACGAGCAGACGGTTCACCTGATGTTAAGTGAATACCGCCGCCCATGGACATCTGCTACACTCGAGCGTTACAGATGCGTTGACAACCTTTTGAAAATTGGGCTCCGGCCACCTCGCTCACCAGACGAAACGCGAAAAGTATTTGTCATACTTCCACTTTACGCCGGTCTTCTGTGAGGTCGTGGTACTTACCCGGACGGGCCTGCCCATTCGTGCAACAGCCGAGGCTGCTGCGTGGCCCTACCACCGTAAAAATGTATGTGACCCGAAATATATCGTTGTTTTTGAAAATCATAGTGACTAAGCTATAATCTTTATGACGTAGATGTTGTAGGTAAAGGCGGTTGCTGCCAATATTAACTCTCGGTGTGGTGTCGTGAAAACGATCCAATTGCGATAACAGTTTTAACACTATTTAGATATATAGTTGGTGTATACTGTGTGTTTTATATTATGATGTTATTCTTAAGAGATGTATCCGTATATCTCTTAAAAATAATACATTTCTCAACACGTTAAAATATCCGGAGATACGGTAACATTTATTACCAATAAATGTTATTTCTTTTAAAGTATCCAATTTTGAGGACCTGTTAAAAAATTCAAAGTGGGTAACGTAACTATCATTTGTCTAACGGTCTCATATCTATATCATCCATAGCTATATCCATGCACAACAGTACTACCTATGTAATTAAAAATATTTTAAGTAATAATTGAATAAATTGTGTTGTTCAACTGCACAAATATGACATTTTATCATTTAATCAAATACCATGATTCCCCCAAGACGAAATAATGAGATGCGCAAATCGTTTCTTTCATGCGAAACTCTCACGCCATTTGGTACGAAAGTAAAGTAAAATTTCAACAATGAGAAAGTCTTGCATGTGCATGTATAAGAAAATTTAGACTGGTAACCGTTCACAGTTGGCTTTATGTGTTTAAAATTTCGCCCGTCTTATCGTGAAAAGCGTTCGGTGCTCGGTATTTCAATTTTTGAATGCAAGCTTCTAATTTGGTGCGCGAGTTTTTGGTGGTGCGTTTTCTTTCGACTTTCCATTCAGAAAATCCTATTGAGTAAAGTTCAATCTCATTTACTATCTAGTAATTCATTTTAATTATCTACTTAATATGAAGATTTTAATTATTACACAGTATCTTATAATTGGTTAAATTTATTTGTTTAAAGATTTACAACAAAATTAGATTTGGTGTATCTAATGTAACTATGTGGTAAACATGCAGAGCTGTCTATCAACCTTCAGTTAGTATAAGAAGAAGAATATCGTTATTAGGTCTTTGTATAGTCGAAAGATATGCAATAAATATAATACAATTAAATAATTTACAACATCAAAGTTAAAGTAAAAACTAGTGATAGTAATTAATTAAAATTCAAATATTGTTTCATTTTGGACGGTTTCTGGGATGCTGTTGAAAATACGTATACATCGTCCCATATAATATTAACTTATTCTAAGTTGTTAGTAGAAATAATTTATGTTTGTTCATAGTATTAAAGCTAATAAGCTTCTTAATTATCAACGTAACTCTTTTAATTTTCCAAGTGAAAAGAGTTATGTGTAACTTTTGCATGCATGGATTACCTTTATTAGAACAACTTCCACGTTTACGTCCCATTCGGTTTTATCCGCTTTGTTCTTTTTAATTATAAGGACAGTTCCGTTTCACTGTTACTGTTTAGATAGCAGGATACCTTGAATTAACTTTTGCTGTATTGTTACAATTAAAATCCTCATTGAATCTTTGTTTAACTGAACGCTTTATTAAAAGAGTAAAGTAAAGTAAGTAAAATATACTTTATTGTACACCATAGAAACATTACAGTATTTATAATTAAAAAAAAAACACACGGGTACAACAGGCGGCCTTATCGCTTAAACAGCGATCTCTTCCAGGCAACCTTAGGGCAGAGAAATTCATAAAAAGAAGAAAGTGGCAGGGGTGTACTAAATAAATATTCAGAAAAATACATACATATATATAAATACATAATATTATATACATATAACCAGAAAATAATATATAATGGACGACAGATAGAAGATTAAGACGAAAGGTAATGTAATTTTAATTTATTTTTAAAAATGTTAAGAGATTTAGATTGTTTAATATCTAAGGGGAGAGAATTCCAAAGACGTATAGCAGTAACAGTAAAAGAATTAGCATAGAAGGAAAAGGAGTGACTAGGAGTACTAAGCAGAAAATTATTTTGAAAACGAAGAGAAAAACAGTGTAAATCATTTCGATAAATAAAT